CTCATCCCGCCCTTCCCCTCCCTCCCCCTTCCGCCTCTCGCCTCTGCCTTCTCGCAGAAATTCTTGGAGGGGTTCATGGCCCCTCCGACCCATCCACTGTGTCTGCTCCCTCTCTCCCTGGACGTGTATGTATTGGGGAGCGGGATGGGGCCGCAAGTTGGCCAATGTAACTTCTGCCGATCCATATATCGTCGCACCCTCCCTGCTGATGCCTCGTAGCAGGTACTTTCGCGGATCGCCGATCCGATCCGATCTTGCTCGCAACAGTACCACAGTACACCCCACCTCTTCTTCCCACTCAGTTCAAATGAAGGTGAAGTCCGACTGCGACGCCATGATATGCGAGCAGGCCGCTCCAAAGCTCGGGCACCCAGGCTCGAACGTTTGCGCTCGAGTGGCCGTGTCAGTGATGGCTAGCCCAATTCTGCCAAAGCAAGGAAAAAATGCTTGTCCACGTATCTTACCCAAGGCAGTTGGACCAAGGCGCATTCACGCGACGCAGGCTACCGTGTCTAATGTGAATGCGTCTGCGATGCACCCTCCGAGTGTGTTCAGCACAGACTCGTTGGCTGCCATGTTTCGCAGCCTGAGACAGACAGCAGGCTTCCATTGCAGATGGCGGTGGGCCTCTGCAGAATCACTAGAGAAACGCACCAATCAAGCACCAGATCGAGTCGGAGCCCGATTTCGATACCCAAGCCCCCCAGGCACAAGATTAGGAGACCTCCAGTTCTGGTGTCAGTTCCAGGGGCACGTTGACACATCTTGCCTCCAGGCTTTGGGGAGCCCTGATGAGGATGATAGGGGGTGGTGACCATGGTGATGATGAAAGTGGTGATATTAATGTTGAGGTTGATGTTGATATCGATGTTGACGGTGCTGATGATGGTGATGGTGATGGTGATTATGATGATGATGACGAGGATGACCATTATGATGGTGGTGATGGTGATGGTGAATGTGATGATGGTAATTGCGAGTGATCGGGTGATGGTGATTGAGATGATGAAGATGATGATGAGTATACTGAGGATGATGATGATGTTGATGTTGATGCGTATGATGCGAATATCTGATGATGATTATGATTACGATAATGGTGCTATTGATGATGAGGACATGGGTGATGATGGTGATGCTGGTGATGATGATGATGATGACGACGGCGGCGGCGTCTACAATGACGATTACGACGATGCTGACGTTGATTCCGATGGTGACAATGATGATGATGGTGATGAGGTATATGATATCGATGCTGATGGTTACGCTGATGCTGTAGATGCGGATGAAGGTCAAGATGATGATCACGATGCGGACGATGGTGACGATGATGATGATGATGATGATGATGCTGATGATGGTGATGATGATGGTGATGCTGATGGTGACGACGATGATGCTGGTGAGCATGATGATAACGATGTTGCCCTAGCCTAGTACTACAACGATGATACTGTTGACGATTATTCTGGCAATGAAAATTACGATGATGTCGATGCTGATGGTAACGCTGATGATGCTGGTGGTGATACTGGTGGTGGTGCGGCTGCTGTTGATGCTGATGATCAAAATGATGGTGCTGGTTCAACGTACGGTGATGATGCTGCTGGTGGTGATGATGATGCAGATGATGGTGCTGACGATGATGATGATGCCGATGCTCATAATGATGATGGTGAGGATGATGAGGATGATGCGGATGCTGATGCTGGTGCTGCTGATGATGAGGATGACAATGATGATGCTGATGTTGTTGATGATGATGCTGATGATGATGATGATGATGATGATGATGATGATGATGATGATGAACGTGATCGTGATGTTGATGCTGATTCTGATGCTGATGCTGGTGGTGATGATGACGATGATGCAGACGACGATTCTGAAGAAGAAGAAGAAGAAGCAGAAGCTCGTTTGGGCCGCCTTGGGGCGGTCTTGGTCTCCCATGAGGCAGTCTTGGGGGGTCCTTGGGGCCCTCGTGGGCCCCTTTGGAGTCCTCGTACGCTGGCCTGGGGCTCTCTTTGGCCGTCTTGCGGCTCTCTTGGCCGTATGGCGGGTGTCTGGGGGCCGTCTTGGCGCCGTCTTGGGCCGTCGAATGGCCGTCTAAGGCCGGCCTGGGTCCCACTGGAGGTCCTTTTGGACCGTCTGGAGCTGACGGCAGCCCGAAAAGGCGATAATGCGAAATCCACTTGACAACCCAAGGGGTATGAATGATTTTGGCTTCTGCGGATCCTGCAGGAGGTTCTCTTGTGGCCATGCTGGGCCCTCTTGAAAGCATCTTGTGCCGTCTTAAATCAAGATTCGGCCGCCTTGGGGCCATCTTGGGCCATCTTCGAGGCTATTTGGGCCATCTTGATATCCTTGGTTGCATGCACGGGCCGTCTTGGAAGCTTGGGACGCAGATCCATCGTTTTTACCCAGGGATCGTTGCTTGGGAGGCCCTGGAGCGCTTTGGAGCAGCGGCTGGGAATACGGAAAGTGCACGATCCTCGAGCGCGTGCGCGTGGGATGAGGGGCCGAGGAGTTAGCAGCCATGCGGGTAGTGTACAATCCTCGAGCGGGCGCGCATGAAATGA